GTGCAGGTGGACGTGACATGAGGGTGACGGCGCGGCGGTACGGGGAGATGAGCAGGCCGCCCACGCGCACGCGCGCGCCGAGGTACAGGCTGGCCGCGCGCGCGAGCAGCGGGCGCGCCGAGGCGTAGATGAGCAGGGACAGCGCGGCGAGCGCCGCAACGGCCGGCGGCGGCGGCGGCAGCGCGAGCGCGACGGGCGGGCGCGCGGCGTGGCAAGAGCGCGCGGCGACGACGCGCGCAGCGCGGCGCGGGCTCTTCGCGGCGGACGGGGCGCGCGGCATGGCGGAGCGGAGGGAGCGGGTCGGGGAATGCGGCGGGGAGGGGCCGGAAGGGAGAGAGGATCGGGAGAGTAGGTGGCGCTGCTGGCCTTGCTGGACAGGCGCGGTGCGATCGGAGGGCTCTAACTCGAGGGGACACATGGACCAATGGAGGCGCGGGCATTGGCTTAGGGCTGGGACTCATAAAACGGGTCTTGCGGGTCGGGAACGGAGATGGTGAGGGTTGAGGATCTCTCTCTTCTCCTTTTTCTCTCCCCCTCGCCGCGATGTTTCGTTCCATGCGGCCAGTCGCGCGGCGTCTGCTGCGGCGCGCGTCATCTACAGGGAGAGCCGCGCCTCCGGGAGGAGGCGGGGGCGCGCGGACGGGGCAGCAGGGCCCGATCTCGTGGCGGGCGCTGGCGGTGTTCGGCGTGGCCGGCACGGCGGGGCTGGGCTACTACAGCGTGAAGAAGCAGGCGCGGATGGAAGGTAAGCGGGACGTTTTTCGCAGCGCGTGCGCGGGCATCGCAGACAGAGACTGACGGCTGCGTGCGGTGTGTCCCCCCTGGCAGAGATCATGCGGCCGCAGACGGTGGGCAAGGCGGCGATCGGGGGCGCGTTCTCGCTGGTGGACGGCAGCAGCGGGGCGGCGGTCGACGAGACGTTCCTGCTCGGGCGGTGGACGCTGGTGTACTTCGGCTTCACGATGTGCCCGGACGTGTGTCCCGCCGAGCTGACCAAGGTGGGCGAGGCGCTGACGATGCTGGAGGGGCGCGGGCGGCGCGTGCGGCGGGACGGGAAGGGCGGCAGCGTAGTGACGCCCGTGTTTATCTCGGTGGACCCCGCGCGCGACTCGCCGGAGCGCGCCGCGGAGTACGCGGCCGGGTTTCACAAGGCTTTCGTCGGGCTTAGCGGGTCGGACGAGCAGGTCAGGCAGGCGGCGAAGGCGTATCGGGTGTACTATAGTCGCGACGGCGGGGAGGGCGACGAGTATCTGGTGGACCATTCGATTATCACGTACCTGATGGACCCCGGCGGGGAGTTTCGCGAGTTCTACGGGACGAATAGCTCTGCGGCGGAGATAGCCGCGCGCGTGGAGGCGCAGATGCTGGCGTGGAAGGGTTGATGGCGGTAGGGGAAGGAAGGAGGGGAAGATGCTAGCGTGGAAGGGTTGATGGTGGTGGCGGAAGGGGTGGCGGAAGGAGGAGGCGGAAGGAGGAGGCGGCTTGCGGTACTTGGGTGTACACGTGTGTACACCGGTGTACACGTGTGTGCAGCGTCGAAATTTTTGAGAAATTGAGTGGAGACGTCAGTTGGAAACCCTACGCATACGTGGCGCATACGTGGCGCGTCGCAAAGCGCGTCGCTTCACTTGCTGACGCTACCAGACTCCCAATTACTCCTTTTGCCCTCCACCCTCCCACCTTCCCGCCGCCGCACTCGCCCCGCTTCCCCCATCCTCCAACGCCCAACCCCAACGCCCAACCCCAACGCCCAACCATGTCGTCCCCGCTGCCAGCCGACGCGCCGCCCCGCCCGACCCCGCCCGCGCCCCGCGCCTCCGCGAGAAGATCCTCCGCAGGCCCGCCGACTACTGGAACGACATCGCGGCACGCGCCGCCCGCGCGCGCCGCGCTCGCCAACTTCCGCGACTACGACGGCCGCACGCCGCTGCACCTGGCGTGCGCGGACGGCCGCGCCCCCATCGCACGCGCGCTCCTCGCCGCGGGCGCAGACCCCGCCGCCCGCGACCGCTTCGGCGCCACATGCGTCGCAGACGCGCTCACACACGGACGCATCAACACCCTCCGCGTCCTCGCAAAGGCCGCGGCTCCGTTCCCCGCGGGCGTGCAGCCCGCCCACCTCGACCCCGCTTACGCCCTCGGCAGAGACCTCCTCACCGTCGCCGCAGTCGGCTCCGTCCGCGCCGCGCAGCAGCTCGTGCGCACGTTCGGCGCTAACGGCACGTGACGTCACCCCCCCCCCCCCCTTTTTCCCCCTGCGAGCGCGCGAGAGAGAGAAGGAGAGACCGGAATTGTCGTGGGCCAGTTGCTGACCGGCGTTGCATTCTGGGTTGCTCCGCGCAGTGAACTTTGCGAATGCGGACGGGCGCACGGCGCTGCACCTTGCCGTGGCGCGCGGGCGCACGGACATGGCGCGGTTCCTGGTGGACGCCGGGGCCGACATGCACCGGAGCGACCGGTGGCAGCAGTCGCCGCTGTCCGACGCGCTGCGTACGCCGGACGAGCCGCTGTGCGAGCTGCTCATGCGCCGCGACGCGGCGCGCAAGGACGACGAGTTCGCTCGCATCATGCAGGAGCCCGTCGCGTTCGCCGTCTGCTGAGACCCTCCCCCCTCCCCCCGCACCTGCCTTGTACAGACGCGTCGACGCGACGAGGAAGTCGCGCGTTGACGTCATGCCGTCACGCGCACGTGACCGCGGTACCACACCGCACCGCGTCACCG